ACTGTGGAAGTACGAGAGTCATTCGGAGACATATCCTGCGAGATGTCAGGCGCCAGAGTACATGCTAGAGCCGTACTCCAATGAAGAAGGCGAACGCCAGTCCTGGCAGTGCTACCGTCTCTTGGAGCCAACACCTGCTCCGCCTCCTGGACAGAACGTGCAGATCACCAGCACACCATTGCCTAGCGTGGTTTATCGAACAATGCCAACAGTGCAACCCCCTACCAGTTCTTCAGCTTTCACCCCGCTGTACAACAGCCATGAGCAGATACCCAAGGCGGTCCTCGTCGAAGAAAAACCCATGGCCGAAAGCCAACCTCTCAATTTGTCTGTCAAACAGGAAACCTGTTGCACCTCTAGTCATCTGTCGGTCATTAAACATGGATCCTCGCCGGTGTTGTACTCGACCGGCTAGTTATATCATATGTGAAATTCTTTCTTAAATGTATGGTACTTGTTTTCTTGACAACAAATAAATTTCATTCTCTGTGTTTACTTACGTGAAGCTTCGTATTGAAGATATGCCTCAAAAAAATATGCTAATTTATGACTGCTGTCTAAGGATTGTGATGAAGATTTTGTTTACGACTGTCACGACCACTTAGGCAATTCTACAGAATTGTAATACGCCCTTGTTGTGCTTCGTACCTAAGAATGTGCTTATTAACAATTATGGAAAAGTCATTCTAGTCATGTTAACAGGTAATGGCGTTCGGGTTGTATTTCAGGACACACTAAATGGTAAATTCAGCAAATGGTAAACTGTTTCAGCAAACGTGTGAGGTAAACGGTGTGTCTTTTACCTAATTATAATTCTACCATAATGAATTCCTGACAGCGGACCAAGATGAATGATTGGAAAATGTTGGATACATGATGCCAAGACATGAAAGTATGACGTTAAGATGACATGGAAGGCAGAAAAGCACTCTAAGAAATGCTGAAGAAACTTTTTCATTTATGAATGCGTCATATATTTTCCTTACATCTTTCTGAGGCATTCGAAATGTTCGACATGGTATAGCCAAAGTAAGGCAGCTATTTTTTTATATGCTCTTTATTAGCAATCACTCGAGCAAAGTTTCTAATTTGTTCAACAGGTGGTAGCTTTAAGCAGCCATAGCTTTCTCAACAAGCTCCTAAGTCCATAATATTTGTCCAATTATGACCAGTTTAGCCTCCAAAATTCAATAACTTCATAGAGACGAATCTCCACATTTTTGAGGTCCAAATTTACCTCTGATTTTGAAGTTTAAACTGCTAATCTCAGACTTCATGGTTAGTTGTTTCAGGTGTTGAGACAGGTGTATCAAATATGCGACTTACCGCTCCTGTTCAGAATGATCCTTTAAGTTCATAATGTTTTTTCCTTCAAAACATTATTCAGTAGCTTAATTATTAATTTCTAAATAATACATTTAGCAGATGCCGGTATATTTATTTTTGGATAGGGAATCTGTCTGCACACTGAGCGAATTTTCCCACATGTTTTCATCCAGATGAATGATTCATCAAGCTGACCAGACCAATAAATGGTCAAAATTACAGTATAAAAAGTGACAGATGGTGATATGAACCAAACCTGGGCTCTACAGTAGTCCTACATAATTACATCTTATTATGTTATGTTTACTAAGCTGTTGACCTAAGAGACACAAGAATGAATGTCAACAGAGAGCAAACGACTCGCAGGAAGATCCTCGAGTTACAGTTACAGTTAGAGGAACGAGTTATAGCAATTTATTGGAAAAACATTGAAACACTGAAGATTCACAGAAGAGAACATTTTGTGGCAAAATCTTCGTGAGTCATTCATCCAGCAGTAGGTTGATTAAAGCTGATGACGAAGACAACATCAAGAATGTGCTTTTATGTGTTTACTGCTGTAATCAGCAACCATCGACCACGGTATGCAAATAAATACGTGAGTTCACATCAATGCTGGGTGGTGAATAACTGGAAGCATATGCGTCATCAGATTACATAGTTATCAGAGCAAAAAACGGTTGCAAAGATTAACTGGATTTTTCGTTTTGCATTCGAACAGACTTCTAGACACGTGCTAATTGGCGTTTGAACTCAGTTTTCGGTACAGCCGGATATAAACCAGGCAGCAGTGGTATCATTCCAACATGTTAGTGAAGATCTTGAATATCACTTATAATCCCAGATGTATTATTAAGCATTTCGATTGAATACTTCCGCATAAAACTTTTATTTCACTTATCTTTAACCCATTCGTACTGCTCTAAAATCAAGGGCCTGCTAGGGAATCTCTCGGTTGGCTACGTCAAGGCAACGTGGGTTGAATCTATGTTTGAGGTAATCAGCACTCAGTATCTCAGGGTTTGAAGCCGACCATTTTGAACCAATATGCCACCCCTTCCACCTGCGAACTAAGAAACTTTGAACAGCAAAGCCGCTTGTTTCATTTTTTCCCCATCTTCTTCATTTTCCATGGCCCCTTCTCCTTTCGGGTTTCCGAGGTAAGTGTGTCAGGCAGTTCTCCCAAGTTCCCGATCCTGTGCCAGAGTCTGAGCTTCGGCAGAAGACAACTGAAGTCTGGAACAGACTCCTTCCATATGTTTGCACCAGGTTAATCTTGGCCGTCCCCTGGGTCTTCTGCCGGTCGGATTTGCAAGGAACAGTTGCTTAGCCTTCCTTTCTGACGGCATTCGCAACACACATGCCCAAACCATCGCAGATGTGACTTCTAAATCTGAGGAAACAGCGGCTGTCTGCAAAGGCTGCACTCCGGAGAAGGGGATGGCGTGTGAGGCTAGCGGTAAGTCTCAGAAAGCCATTTCGGCCGTTTATACCCGGGATCGAGGTTTCTCAGTCATTGCCCACGACTCATAGCCAATGGTGAGTATGTAGATGAAGGCCGACTTGAAGTCTTCAGACTCAGCTCTGCTTTAGTCACGGCGGTTTGGGTTTGTTCACGAAGAACGCCGCAGGCGATTCCAATACGCGGTCGATCTCTTCCTCCCATTTTCTTTCATAAGTAGGCATGACCCTGAAGTCCTTAAGCCTCTCCAGCTACTCCGTCACTTCATCCATTATCTGAATAGACTAACGGACAGAACATCGAGAAAGTACTGTATTTTTTCAGATATGTAATACATAGATGAAAAGATTTCTATAGAGCACTGGAGACCACTTTCAGAAAATGCTAATAAAACAAGGTCGTCTGCAAACAGCAATCTTCTCGACTTCACATCTCCTACACCGATACCCTCATTACCTTGGCAGCTATCAACTATTCTATCCATGTACATCACAAACAGAATAGGGGACAGGACGCAGCCTTGGAGGAGACTAGTGCGAACATTGAATGGTTTCGACTTAACGCTATTTACTCTGACGCAGCACCTGCTATCAGAATACCGTGATTAGATGACCCTTAGCAGCTGGCTATAGATGCCATGCGTTTGCAGGCAAACTCATAGACTGTTGGGTCGGATTCGGTCAGAGGCTTTTTCTAGATCTACAAAACGTAAATAAACCGGATGAGCAAATATTCACGATTTCTCAACAACCTGCATAGGGCGAACATCTGGTCAGCTATTCATCCTGCTTCATCCGGACCTGAAATCACGCTGCACCTCCTGTGTCTTAGTCAGTTATTACTCGTCACCTCGTTTCTAGCACTTTTGTGTAGACTTTATCCTGGATGCTCAACAGCTTAGTGCCTCGATATTTGGAGCACCCTATAGTCCCTCTTTTTGAACAGAGGTACTACAACCCGGTTCTCCAGTGCCCTTTGTGTTTTGCCAGTACATCCCATTTTCGTCTAACAGTTTAAGCGTTTCAGGCGAATTTTATCGATTCCAGCAGCATTTTCACTTTTCAAGTTTTTCATATATGTGGAATTTACATTAGAGTAGAATAGTTTTCACCCACAAAAATTGAGAGTTTCAGACTCCTGCTTCTTCGAGAGAATCAAATATGTCCAGTTGCTACCTTGTGGCCTCATTAATTGGCTCGTGCTCTTTCCCTCTGAGTGAGCATATGTCCCAGTTTCTGACTGTAACTTTCTGATCTGCCATTTCAACAAGCTTCATACGCTGGGTTGCAAAGCTGGAGAGTAAAAATCGCTTAATACACTCGAGCTGCTGGCTTTTAGGTGATCTTCCTTCTGCCCCATAGCTTTTTGATTTATTTTGTGACCTTGGAAGTGTCATGGCATCCTCAGCACCGTAACAGGGAATTATCGACAATGAGAAGAGGCTCACGATTCAGAATATCTCTAATTGCCGTATTCTGAACCGACGCTTTTGAACCTCGTAGCGAAAGCAGTCCACCGATGAAACCTTATTTATATCCATTTTTTGGAATAGCACTCGGTTGGCCAATATCTAGGATTGATGACCAAAGAATCTGTGGATTCGTATGCTGACTTGAAGTTAAATAACTTATAATGAGCAGTTTCATATTTCAAAGTGCAATCATACCTAACTGTACTTCAATCCGCATCGTAGATATCATGACTGGAGGTTAATGGATCACAACAAGATATTGGTTAGTTGCATGATTCATAGTCACTCTATTTTTGCAAACTGATTGCACACAAAATTTCGGCTAACGAAGCACAGCGCCTTTTTCCTACGTAAATTCGTATGAACAGAGACTCGTCCATCACAGCATCATCAAACAGCTTCTTGCTCAAGCATACGAGGGGCAACAACGCTGAACTGACGGTTCGCGTTTTCAAACAGAAAGTAGACAGTGGCATCCGGCAGTGACACAATTCGTCACTCAATGAACTTCCACATTTTCTTCAAACCGTCTGCCTTAGAACACCCACTGACCACCAGCATGGCTGACAGAACGAACACCACGATGTACATAAGCGTAATGATGCTCCACAATAAAGCGAAGAACGGCTTTCGCATGCACACGTTCCACTGAGAACTTCTTCTAGCAAGGTGTGGTTTCGCGGATCGATACAGCCTGATTTTCTCAGAGTCTATGCCTGAAATCGCAAGCACGTGTTGTACGGTAAGAAGTCAGAACAGCGCCAGTAATTACCTTCAATCAAAGTCTCATTTTCGGCTTCTTCCTGATTGTACGCCTCGACAACGATTAGTTTCTCCTCTAAAGTTTCAAGGTCATTTTCCAAAAGTTGTCTTCGCCAGTTCTTGTCCAGTGCTCTCCTGGGTCTCTTAGTGCAAACCTGAAAATGGCGGCAATTTTAGGAGGCGTGTTCTATGAACGGATAAGTACTGCACTGTAATCTGCAGGGTTTTGAGATCACCAAAATTATCACGGCAGTACAACTATACAAAAGGTATCGGTTTGTATGCAAAATTCTTCTCCTCACGAATTCTCCAGAACAAGTATGGAGAAGAAGCCAAGAGTTGGACATAGAAAATAATTTGAAGAAGACGAGTTTTATTCAACAAATACGTAATACTTAAAAATACTACTTAATTCAACAAATACCTTACCAAATACTGTAGAAATTAATTGACTCAGCTTGAACGGGTACAAACGAGACCGATTATCATCTACAACGTGCAACAATGCAATAATATTAACAGAAGGGCAAACAGGGAATGGAGCATTTTTGGAAAATTGAAAACGTTTTTCCTAGAAAAGTGTCATTGTGCTTAAAACAAAAAATGTTCGATCGACAGATATTAGACTGACTTATAAGAGGCAAAAAGAGTTCCATATTAATAACTTCCATCTTCAACGCGATGGCCAGAAGAACTCAAACAGTTCGTTGTAACAGCTTCTGTCAGAGCTCCAGAGATTACAACTGCGCAGTAAACACTGCCAGAGTCTTCGCCTAGCATTTGGGTTGAAAACGGCTTGTAATAAGGAGAA